GGGTTAGCCCAAACCATACCAGAGTCAGCCAACGTCCTTGGACAACAATTTGGCCGTGCCTTCCAAAGCCCGCAATCATCATACATCATGCCTAAGCAGATAACGCCACCATCAGGGCCTAATCACATTTCGTTTACCTCCGCAGCTGTACTGAAGTGGCTGATGTCTCTGCGCGAGTTCAGCTCCCCGGGTGCGGATGGCATTCGACCGAAGGCGTTAAAAGTTGCTGCCATGAGTTTGGCGGCGCCACTAGCAATTTTTTTTCAACGATGTATGAACGAGATGCACTTCCCCACGATGTGGAAGCACGGAATCATCACGCCAATCTACAAAAGTGGCAGCCGTGTTGAACCAGCAAATTATCGCCAGATAACACCACTTCCTGTGATCTCCAAAGTTATGGAGTCCATTGTTGCTGAGGCTTTAATGGGGTACCTGGAGAACAACAAATTCTCGTTCCGGAGCAGCACGCATTTCGCCAAAATCGGTCCTGTACCACTAATCTGTTGATTGGTCGTGCAACCTGGACGGAATCTGTGGACGCTGGTGAAGGAGTCAACGCTGCCTGCTTGGATTTCTCAAAGGCATTCGATCGTCTAGATCATCGCATTCTACTCCACAAACTCCAGAAATATGGAATCGGCGATCCTGTTCTGGGCTGGATAGGAGACTTTCTCGTGCAACGTCACCTGAATGTGGGGGTTCGAAACAACCTGTCGGAATCCATCGAAGTTCAGTGCAGCGTACCTCAAGGATCGGTACTTGGACCCCGCCTGTTCCTGGTTTTCATAAATGACCTCGCGAGGGTGCTATCTTCTAACTGTTTGCTGATGATCTAAAGGTACGTCTGCAGTGGAGGATCACGCAGTTACAGGAGGACCTGGACAAAGCGTACACATTGTCCTTCGAGAACATGCTGCATTCCAACGTCACCAAGTGCAAAGTTCTCAGCATACGGCACAAGAGTATGCACAAGTACCGCCTAGGACCACAAATTCTACAGCCGGCTTCTCACGAGTGCGATCTCGGCATGCTAGTTCAAGGTGACCTCGGTTGTTTGAGGCAGACTGAAAAGACATCTAAGAAAGCAACCCAGTACCTCGGCCTCCTTCACAGAGCTTTCGGGAAGTTTGACCCCTCAGTCTTTCCGAAAATGCTTAGTGCGTACGTGAGGCCGCACGCGGAATACGCTATCCAAGCGTGGCAACCCTGGTTCAAGCACCATCACACCGCGCTCGATACTGCACAACGTAGGACAGCGAAGAGTATCAGAGGTTTGAGCAGTCTCCCCTACCCACTCAGGCTGAAGACTCTCGAAATATACAGTGGACGTTATCGACATCTAAGGGGCGATCTCATAGTGGTGTACCAGATCCTGAGAAACCCCAACCACCCATGCCATTCCCTTCCGATACTCAGTCAAAACACCCCGCTAAGAAGTCATCAGTTTAAGCTGGTCACACAGTACGGCCGGCTGGAATGTCGGCGAAACGTTTTCTCCCATCGAGTGTCACAGTCTTGGGACGCTCTCCCGGAACATGAAATTAATGCTCGCACCCTATCCCTTTTCAACAAACGCCTTGACGAAACTGTCACACTTACTCTATGTGATATAGCCCATGACCACAAGATGCTGGCACTAATGCACAACAGACAGTGGACAGTGCCATAACCCTACTCGAGAATGAGTCACTCCAAACCCCTTGCACACAATTGGATAAACGCTACTACTGTAGAAACTGGATTGCTGTATCCCGTCGACCCGAGATAGCTGCACACGAGTAAGCGTCGTCCTTGCTGCTTTTTTCTTGCCTATTACGTGATCAATAACCACTCCCCTTATGGCTTTGTGTGCACAGATTCTAATTTCAAACCCTTTATACGGCAGTGCAGTTAAATCTGTAATCGCCCGAACCGACGATTCTATTATCCCTTGATCTATCTTTTCTCACTCTAACCACCTCACGGGACATGTCAAGCACCTGCTTTTTACCTGTTATAAATCATTGTTCATCTCTCCTACCAACGCAGACTGCAGTCCCTGAGATTGTACAGTGGTGAATATCGATGTCAGCAAGGTGATCAAATCGTGGTTTACTTAATCCGACGAACCCAACACCCGTGTCGCAACCTGTTGCAGCTGAGCCAAAATATCAGCCTGCGAGGCCATCAGCTCAAAGTGGCTACGCACTACAGTCGGCTTGATTATCGAAGAAACGGAGCACAAGCTCTATTTATAGAGACTAGTCACGGAATACACATGTATCTAATACGTAAACTGGTATCTGACGCTCATGTTTGAAGCAACCAGCTCGATTTTATTCCCACTACGATCAACTGCGTGTGACCACGTCGGTTTTCAATGAATCTGAAATGTGTCGCAGACCCACTAACTACGCTTAGTTTGCGCTAAACATGCAATTATTCTTCATACGACTACGTAACTCCTAACTACGGGGTCAACGCTTACCTATGGATGTGCAGTCTTTAAGGTAAAAATATCAAACCGAATTTATTTTGCAACAGCAACTAACGAACCGAGTGTATCAAACTAATGGTAATTGATGCCAACTTTAATGCACCGTGAAAAATCGTCCTCCAGCATCTGGTTGGTCTTGATCACATGCACAATTAACGAGTGGATTTCATCGTTGAGAGTTGTTTCGTTCGAATTCAGCTTCATAGCTGCCTATTTTCGTAATCGGGTCTTCCACCGTGAGCAGTAACGGTGGACACAACCTCAAGTCGCTTCGCCCAAACGTTTAAAACTACCAGTCTGCCCACGTACCTACCATGTCAGTAGTCTTCGCAACCGGGACTGGAGTACGTTCCACCAAATGTACACAGACTGCGTCGCTACTGCGTATCCCCCTTTTATGTGCTCATAATTCGCTGCAATATTGTTGAATGGGGGTTTAGGCACACTAGTTAAACCAAAATTTTTCAACTATTCCAGCCACTGTTCTCTAGAATAACAAATTGGCTCGAGAACAGGGAACAATGGTTTACATACGTGCAAGCCGCTTCACACTTCTCCCACCGGTCAGTAGGAGAAACCAACCTAGTTTAGACTTGTGCAACGCCAACCAGACTTTTGGTAATATGATGGTTCATGTGCCCGTGGAATTAATTGAGCCCTGCTTGGTGGGAACACCGGGCAAGCAACGAGCGTCTTCGACGCCTTGTTTACGGCGTAGGAAGAACCGAACTGCTCAGCACCGTTATTTCACGCACCAGACTCCGATGGCTCGGCCACATGTTACACATGTCAGCCCACCGACTCCCGCGACGTGTGCTGTGTGCTCACCGGGGGTGGGGATAGAAGAAGAGGAGGGGTGGCCAAGCGATGACTTGGTCCAGAGGAATGAAGGCCCTCACTTCGAAGCTGGTCTCGGCTCCCTGGTTGGGGTCCGAAAGACGATGAACACGTTTGGCTAGATACACTTGCTGACCTCGCTAAGAATCGACACCAGTGGCGTTCGTGCTGTGAGTTGCGTTGTCCCACCCCATCCCTCTTAGCCTCCCCCTCCAACCACGATCTCACTATTTAGCGTTATATACTTTTGCAAAGCAATTTTTTGCTACATAGTAACCGGATGGTAGCTTACCGGAACGATGCCCATGCGTTACCGATAGCTCAGCTGGCTTGCACCTGTTGTATTGTCCTTTTTTTCTTTTATTTATTGCGGCACAGTAGCTAGAGGTGTTTCCCAGCTCTAGCTAACGTGTATAATTATGATGCTTCTCCCGTCCTTCAAAATACTACACGATTTCACGCCTGAACCCCTGACGATAGCGTACCTCATACTGAACGAGCGTTGACGCTCGCTATGCGTTGTCATAGTATAAATGTGCACTGTACTGGAAACAGACAAATCAGTACGTAGTAGAGATTAACTCCTCTGAAGAGGTTATCCTGTAGAACATGCTGCGTGAGTTGATTGCGACGCCCAAACCCAACCTGGGCCGCGATTCACTTTGTTGTGAGCCTCCGCAAATTTGGTCATTGAGATCGCAAACATCTCGGGGTCGAGTTGCAGTCCTGCCATCTCTGTCTGACGAGATGAAACTAGTTTGGAGACGACAGCGGAGTTTAATGACTAATGCCGTCTTATCAATAGTCCCGAGTGCCTAGGTAATACCGAAGTGTTTCACTGTTATTTCAAAGCAATAGAGAATTGTGTGCAAATGTACATGAAAATGGTGCAAATGCAATGTTATGCTGCCGTGTGAAATGTCCCCCGATTAGTTGTAATGCTGTTTTTGACATTATTTTTTTAAGTTTCAGTCTGTTGACTAGGGTTGTTTTACACTCTCGGTTTGAGGTAAATTACATGGCGGAACACATCGTACTTCTGATCCAACAACTTGAGTGTCGTCCCTGACCACATGTTCCTGCGTGTCACTGCCCATGTCCACCTGGACCACAGAATGATCAAATACGGGCTACAGGCGTCACACTGTACCCCACATTAAATCCAAATCGCATCTCTCAGTTGTCGTTGAAGCAGACTAGTGAGTACATAACATTACTGACAGACTTATCACGGTCAATGAGTCAGATCGGCTCTCATGCCTTTCGTATCCTTATTGGATGTCTACTTCAGCGTACATTGTCACCTGTGTTCAGGTGGAACCGCAGTCTAAAGCGATGATGAGATAACATGGCATGATAAATTGGCTGATAAGCTCGGTTAGACTGGTACGTAACCTATGAATGTTTGAGGTTCTCGCTACCGGCCATATCCATTTGGAAACCTTAAGTAACATTCCTGAGCCAGCGGTTATTGCGTCTAACACTTACACTTTCAACCAGATCGATTTTATTTGTCTTTCCTGAGCTCTTTCTTCGTGCCAGGAAAAGTTGCACTTCGACTTACGTTCTTTGCTGTTCTTAACTGTTAGTATTAAGATTGTTGGCAAGATACCACGAGTTAGGCAACTGGATCCACTTCGCATCGGTGCTAAGATCCTGGTCGCACAACCGCAACAGATCTGCATAAAACTATCGATTAGCTATTTTTGATTCCAATCAAAGAGTAGAATAACGTACACATCGGAATGAGGTTGTCAGAATTATAAAATAATGCAAGATACAAAAGTTATAGACTTTGAGCATCACAATTTTTGGTAGCACATCTAGTGCCACAGAGGTGAGCAAAGAGGAAATCAGTTCCATGAAGCATTCGCGTCGAAAGGCGATAAGAAATGCGTTGCACATCTCAGTGGTTACGTAACTGCACTCCAAAAGTGTGAGATGGCAGATGTCAGCAATGGTGGCGTTGGCTGTATGAGCTGAAACGGGAAGAGTGGGTTAGAGCTTCACCGCAATAATTTCGACGGAAACTGTAGTGACGATTCCGTGAACATAATTCATGGAAAGCACAAGCAAGTAGCGCGTGGATATTGGGCTCAACCATGAGTTAGCTTATCCAAAACCTTTAAACCCTTCTCTTCATACTCCTCCTTGGTCAACCATGAAGTGTTCGAATGGTCCTTCATAATGTTAGCCAAGACGGAACCGCCGATGAACACCATGTGTTTGCGTTGCGGTGGGGCTTCAATGCGGATTTTGAATTTCTTCAAAAGAAACGGAAGAAAAAGTTTCAATCTTTGATGAACTTACGCAACACACTGCAACTCGAACGTGCTAACTAACTCTTTTAAGTTTCAGTACAATTAAGTGAATAAGAGCCTCGTTGTAAGGTAAATCTTGTATTGCATGGTAAGTCTTGAAAAAGTGCAAGTAGAGAGACCCTTACTATCGTGTGGGGCGTTTCATTCCAAAGAGAGGCGCACACCTTCGGATGCAGCAAGGATCTTCCCCTCAACGTCACACGTGTGTTTCCAAAGCAAGAAACAGGACAAAATATCAAAGAATGGTAACTTGGTGTAATGCGTGCAAATGTCTGCGCAATTAGCATCATACGAGCGGAAACACACCTACTGGAATAAGCAACCGTACCTGCGGTTTGTAAAAGCGGTCTGTCAAGATGAAAACTAGTCTAAATACGAAACACATAAATGAACTTCAACCTACTGTTAAAGGGGCATCATCAATTGGTAGGCGAGAGATGAGTCAGGAAATTGTAAACGGGCGTTTATAAGGGACGGAAAGCGGATGGATTAACGCGACTCGTAAATATCCTAGATGGTGACCGATTGTTCAAAAATAAACGTTACCAACAAAACATAACGCATATAAGTGCACTTATCATGTTATTCACATAAACGAAGGCACAAATTCGCCTATCGTGCATTTATGCGGAAGGAACACGGGCTATCTTATCCGATCCAACAACTTGGTTGTCCCTGACCACGGGATCCGTCGTGGCATTGCTCATTTCCACCTGGGCCACATAGTGAGCAATTTAGGGCTGCAAGTGTCCCAATGCAACTCACGATCAATCCAAACCGCATACATTGCCTACACCGCATCTCATAGCTGCGCTGTTGACGCGGACTAGTTAGTAAACATCACTGACAGAATTCTCACCGACAATGGGTCAGATCGGCTGACATGCCTCGTAGCCCCATTGAATGTCTAATTTGGCATACGCTGCCGTATCCTTAGATAGTCTTTTAAATAGGATAACGCTAGTACATAGATGCCATAAGTTGGAAAGACGTTCTACGGTAGACAAACTTGGAGAGACAATGCCGGAAAATTATGGATACCTACTACTTGTTACATGTGGATGCAATGCGGTTGAACCATCCAGAAACGCACCGCTATCACTACTCTAACATGGGCTATTAGTAGTGCTAAAGTGTTGACCGAACAACGGACGCAGCAGTACCACGACTACGGTTAACAAGACCGGACGGTAAAAGAGAGAGGTGGACTCAGTGACATGACGGGACAACAAAACCGACTTACCGACAGTCTTGAGGTATCACCTTTTAAGACATTTTGCAAATACAGCTGCTTGATTTCACGTTGCAATCGGCTCGGTAGACCCGGATACATTGTGCTACCTCCACTTAGGACAATGTGTTTGTAAAGGGCGGGTCGAGTGTCCATATCCGCCGATTGAATTGTGTTAAACAAGAGTTCTGCGACGCCAACGCCTTCGTGGTTAATCAGGTGCGGTTGGAACAAAGCCTCTGGTGCACTAAATAACTCCCCTCCGACTGTGATCGCTCGCCCATCTGGTAGCTAAAACATATGGACACATAAGTAGCAATATGGTACACAGAGGTATACATTGTGATATTTATTTTACGTGCACCAAGTTAAAACGTCTTTGAATTGTGCACAGATTGGTGGCAATTCGCTCGCTCTTTCTGGATGCGTTCGAAAAGATAAGGAGGCTGTTCAGGGATTTCCCAAGGTTCGCGCCGAATGCCGTTCCCTGTAATTAATCAGTGGGAACAAACCATCAGCCGGTTAAGGTACGAGAACCGGAGTATCCTAAGTATACTGTCATCGAAGAAAGGCACACTGTGATGTGTAAACGAAAAAAGTGGAATCACGAACCGACTGAACATCCCATGGAGCACGCGATCACACCAACACGTGCGTTGTGCTCAGCAATCCAGCACCGAAGCTTATGCGAAAGAAAAGCGGATGGTTCAGGAACACTGTCGCAACAGTAGATGAGTGATCAACACCTAGTGAAAAATTGTCTGGAGGCAATGCAAGAGTTTATAACAGCATTGAAGCATTGGAGACCCGGGGTTGGTGGTTAGTATATGCAACGAGGCCCTAATTAAGCTAAAGGACTATTTCGACCTCCTTAGTCTAACTGCAAGTGCAGCATTCGAACAAAATGGCCAAACCTGACCAATTCATTCGACCAAAGTTTTGAACTCTGCTCAATATTTTGTTGAGTATTTGCGCGATTAGTGCATTATTTTGTTCGGAGTCTTTGATTTCCTCATATGAAGGCTAGTGAAGAACCCGGACGGCACCAGTGGCAAAATGGAGACGGAGAAAAGTGACAATTCTAGGAGCTGTCCTTGCAACAGTAAGAACACGTGGCGGAGAAAGTAAAAATGATCGAAAAGTCGCCGCAGCATCTCATTTTGCAATTCACAGTATCAGCTCCGCGAAATGGCAGTGTGTAAACAGATGTCAGGTGAAATGCAACATACAAGCCCACACAGAAGTCACAGAACTGACCGCCTGCTACTTCTTGGTCATTTGATGACTGGCATTTTGCTCGCTTCTGCCCAAACAAGTGGCACCCATGTTGAAGAGACCATAACCAGGGGCATAAGAAGGAATTTTACCATCATTCTTGATCAGCGAGCTTTAACAAGTTTTGTCGAAAAAAAAGCAGAGAAAGAATGGCGGCAAATCCTTGTCACTCGGTGCTTCTCAGTGACTTTAAGCCCCGCTGACGTTTCATTATGATACTCATCAACATGATTCCATCGAAACTTCAGTTTGATACAGCCAGGAGCTGACTTGCCGGACAACCTACCCGTGGTGCCAGCTGGGCGGCTGGGGAATTTCCTGTTCTGGTGAATGGTTCAGCGACAGTGTTCCAGGACGTGAGGAGTTTTCGCCTGAGAAGCGTTCTCCCTGTGAAAAGCCACCAGCGTCTGTTTAAGAAATAAAGTCACTGCCCCTTATCTTCCTCGCGGATATTGTGCACGGGAAAACAATCCGAGTGTTGGATATTCCCTCTGACTTCGGGAGTGTTGGGTCCCTGGTATGTCTTTTTTACTATCCGAAAGGCGTATGAACTGAATGTTTAGTCGCCGGCTCCCAAAGAGCGTGAAACCCTTACGTCGCCCTGCCGATTTGTTGGGTAAGCCCTGTGGCCAAAGGCTTTGACAGGTGATCCTTTAAAACAACCTATCTAGTTCGGCCTAGACAAGCGGGTAGTGTGTCCCCTACCGATGAACCAAGGAACCACACAACTGCTCACTCTTTTTCGCCCACATGAGTATCCACTGTCCTGCTACTACACACACCACCACCAATTTAACTAACCTCACCTTGTATCATTCATCCACACTGACACCTGATTCATCGACGGTGAACAACCCTACCCTCGCAGATGGAATAGTTCACTTAGCATCCTGAGATTGAGACTGTAGTCAAAAGTAAGTAGAAAGGTTTCTGTACAACTCTATCAAATTATGAAACATCAAAAACATTTAGTTATGAATCGTCAGCGGTTTTGTTTGGTCAGTTAATCGTTTATCCTTGTTCGGTTAGGAATTCGTATTGGTGTCATTATTTCCGGGTGTACGATGTCTTCTTTTGGCATTGTATGTACATCATTTCACAAAAGCACAGGTTTCCGAAATAATCGTCGATAAGTGTTTTAAAACCTTTTAGAGAATCGGCCTCTATTAATCCTTCTGGTAGTGTACTCCATAAGTTTACGATTCGTTCTATACAAAGCTGACGTGATAGTTTGTTCATGCAGGGGATCCTAAGTTAGTAACGGTGTCCTCGGGTGTTACAGGGTTCCTGCAGGTGAAATATTTGCCGCAGTATGGGGAAGTGATTCAAGTGTTGTACTCGATGGGTCATAATAAGGACAACTCGTACTCGGCGGTAGGATAGTGTGTAGAGTTCGAGCCTTTCACGTTTTTCATACGGAAACTTTCGTAGACTTGGTATCATTCTAGTTGTGATATGCTGTATTCGCTACAGCTTTTCAGTTTCCCACTGGGTTATCTGCTGGTAAGCTGGGGCACCGTGTTCAAGGATCGGTCTAATGAGCGAGGTGAATAAGCGAGGGACGGTTTCTTCAGATTATGTGCAGAAACTGCGTCTTACTGCCCAGAGCATACGAAATCTCGCAGGGTACAATTTCTCTGTATTTTCTAGTAATCTAATTTCCTGTCGCGAGAGCACTGCTGAGTCTCTGACAGATGCGTTAGGGTAGAGCACCTGACCGTCCAAGGTGTATGATCGAGTGGCTGGACGTCTGGTGATACTGATGAACTCCGATTTGCTTGCGTTAAGAGGAAGTTGCATTTCAGTGGACCACGTTGACAATCGCACTAAGTCATGCTGGAGGCGAGCGCAGTCGTCCTGGTTCTCAATGATCCTCCAGGTTTTCAAATCATCTGCAAACAGGGTACATGGTTAAAACGTTTCGAAATACTGGTAGCTCGGGTTGATGATTCAATTGCTCATTTGTTCTCCGAGCTTGGCGGTTTTGTCGCAAACGTTTCACCACCATGCGAGGTGGCATCCTCAGTGCAGTGAGATGCGGCGTGTAATCTTATTGAATGATTCCCCCATCCGTGATCGACCTGCAGGTGACTTTTGAAAATGGCAGTGTCGATTTTCGTCCCGTGACCTCTACCTAATTTCCCCTAGACTAAAGTCGGCGCCCGAGTTGTTCTGCCTTAAACTGCGTGACAAAATGTTCTTTATTTCTTTTTGTCGAAGTGGTTCGTAGATTGAATCGATGTCCACGCGCATGTTGATTGAGTTTTTCGTTGAGAACCAAGCTTCCAGGAATTCCTTTTCTTTTCTTGTTTCACCCCGTGCCTGGACTTCTGCTTTGCTCCAATCGAAGCTATGTACTTCTTCATCTACATGCAATGAAACTAGCGACGATGCATAATGCTTTACACGGGCTCTTTTATGTTCTTGTATCCTTGTTACCAGTTTTCTTCCCGTCTGGATAACATAATCCCTTTCGCAATCTCGGCAACGTATTTTGTACACCACATTGCGTTGTTCATGTGCCTGCGGTTTTTCTTTTGGTGTTGAAAGGGCTTTCCTCAACGTGGCAGTTGGCTTGTGTGCCACGATGAGATGATGCTGTTTGAATACTGGCTGCCATTTCCTATATGTTCTTCATATAAGGCAGAACAACCCGTTTCTCCGTTGTTGTTGTTGTTGTTGTTGCTGCTGCTGATGATGATGATGATGTGTTACACAAGCTACGCTGTTTCTTGTACACTGTCTAATCTTCGTCACAACCCGAGCTGATGTATCTATCCCAAAGTTTGCGACGCCGTCGCGCTAACTGTCTATATTCCGTAGCAAACCAATGTGCTTTGACAGGTCCGATTTTTGAATACTTCAGAGGAACGAACCGGGTACACCGAGAGTTAAGCTTCCACTTCATTAATAAACAACAGGCCTCAAGCGACGCATCCTGTTGTAGTGTCCAATCAGTCTGACTTGCAGCTTGGACGAGCCCGTTGAAGTCTGTCTTCCAATAGTTTAATATCGGCTTCCGTTAGTTGTAATACGGTAACGACAGTACTATGCTTGCCACGATGGAGCATTGGTCACTGTACGCCAAAGGTTCGAGGACTCTGATCTCGTTCAGCTTCTGCCCGCAGCTCGTAAACATTAGGTCCAGGCAAGATGCCGAGTGCGGAGTTACGCGCGTCGGTTGGATGACATGTTGCGTTGCCCCGATTGTAATAGTCATTTCAGCGAATTGAACATCCACGTTGCTGTGACCGGGAAGAAGTCGAACGCCTGGCCAAAATATCTTAGGTAAATTTAGATCCCACATGAGTAAGAACTGAGAGCGGCTCATGTGCTTCTGTACATGTGGTAGCCAGTCGCAACAACGGTTTAATGGGCTACGGTAGATAACACCCATTAATAGTTCTGCGCGTCTTAGGCGGATTGTGCACCACAATTGCTCGCATAAACTATCCTAGATCCGATAGGTGCTGATAAGTTTGCCAAATAGTGACGATTTAATGTACAACAGGACACCACCGTGAGCCTTTGATTTTCAGTCGCATCGGAAACAAGAGTATCCTGACAACGCGACTTCTTGGGGCACAGTTCGTCACGTGTGTTCATTAGGCTGCACAAGGCGAATGCCAAACGGAAGTCCTGGGAGGTACTGCGGAACTTGCCTGCTGGTTCAGCAACCGGTTGATACGGTTCGTACACCCTTCATGATCACCCGAAAATCTACAATTTGCAATTCAGTCTCAAAAGAAATCAAAAGTAAGCGAAGTAAACGTTGGCTAAAGGTTGAGGAGGAATTATTAACTCGAAAGGAGTTTGAGCGTAATGAATAGTTGCTTCTAGACGCAAAATCTTGGAGAATGGTATTTATGACCACTGTCTCAGCAAACTTGAGGACTCTGGCGTTTGTGTTACAATAGGTGACACTAAACGCCGAGTTGGGGGTCAACATAATGACCCGTCTACATCAGGTGTTTCACAATCGAAGTTAGCATCATTCATCACTATACACGTTAACT